TATATCTGACTCTTTTAGTTTTAGGACTTACAAACAACCGTTATGTGAACAAAACTATAATACTCTCTTTAGCAACTTTGTTGCGAGAGTTTAAAAAGAGAGAGGCCAAAATGTGATTTCGAAGAACTTAAAAAACTGGCGTACAGGGATAATGCTCAAAAATTCTACGAAAAGATGCGGCGACTAACAGAAGGTTTCAAGACCGGAGTGTACTCTTGTTAAACCAGCAGAGGTGATCTGGTGACTGGTGCCTAGATAACATTGAAATCATGGAGGAATTCTCCAGCCTGTTGAATGGCAGTGAAAGCAAAACACCAGACGTGTGAATCCATTTCACCAATCGATGACGATGAAGCGGACGTTCCATAGCTCGACCACGAAGAAGTTCGAATAGCAATTACTTGTCTGAAGAACAAAAAAGCGACGGGGGCAGATGCTATTCAAATACGTCGGCGAATCAGAGATATGGAGCATGTATCAGCTTCTTTGTAAAATAAGGTCGGACGAAAGCATGCACAACGATTGAAACCTAAATGTCCTCAGCCCAATCCACAAAAAGAGAGACTTCACAATCTGCGGCAATTACCGTGGGATAAACCACTTGAATATCGCATGTAAGGTTCTATGGCGCGTTCTGTGTGAAAGACTGAAGCTCATCGTCAACAAACTGGTTGGACCTTATTAGTGTAATTTCAGGACTTGCAAATCAACAACTGACCAGATATTTACTGCGCGCCAAGCCTTGGAAAAGACCCGTGTTGACGCACACCACCTCTCACGAAAAATTGCTGGTTTTATGCCGTTATGTCTAAATTTGGTATCAGCGCAAAACTAATACGGGTGCGTAAACTGACGTTGAGCTGCGTCAGAATCGGGAAAGACCTCTCCGAGCCGTGACTACGCATTAGCGGTGTCTGCGTCAATAAAGAAGAGTAAGTAGGTGCGATCTTTCTGTGTCCAACTATTGTTTCCAACTATTGACAACTCTGATATTATTTATACTTAAGAAATAAATTACGAATATGAAAATCTTTGTCGGATACTTCAAGAGCTACGCTCATACATATATATGTACATTTGCGATTATGCATATTTCTTTCATGCCACCAAAAGACCACCAATGCTTTCTAAATCGATTCATATGCGTAGCTAAAAAATTCATTTTATTTGTGTATTGTTGTATTATTATTGTTGCATACAGCTGTTGCACAAAATCTCTGCTACAAATGCACGTGATGTACAATTCCAGCTCAAAGTGTCTGCAACTCTTTATCTTCTCGCAATCTCAGAAATCCGCAAAGAGTTTGCGCTGTGATTGAATGCAGCCACATGTGTTGTGCATACTCACACATAAATCTATTAATATATATATAAGTGTATATACTATATGCCACATAATACAATCTTATTACTAACGCTGCATTGTGGCACATTGTGGGAGTTATAGTTTGCCTTGTTGCCGCTGCTGCTATTTCGATAGCGATTGCTTAGTGCCTGATTGTCTTGTAAGTGTCTATGCGCTGAGGGCAGCCGTTCCCAAACAAACAAAAAACAAAAAACAAAAAAAAAAAAACATATTGAAAAAAGCACAAATTTAGGAGCAGGAACGCAAGTCGGAGGCAAAAGTAAACGGAAATTTTCGCAATGATAAACTATGTTGCTTGTTGCTTAGCTGACAGGCTTCTTGTGTGTCGAGTCTCCAGACTATGATGTGAGTCTCTCTCCTCCACTCTGGTAAATGCTTTTCTGCTGACATTGGTGAAATTGCCGTTGCAATTGAATTGCGACATTTGTCTCACTTTTACATCGAACCATTATTTTGTTTGTTTCTCAGTTGCATGTTTGTTGTTGTTGTTCTGCGCATAGTTGCCAGCTGCTTTCATTTGGGTGTGATTGGGAGCAGCAGTTATTGTTTGTTAGTTTTTTAGCGGAAATTTCCTTTGCTTCCTTGACATTGATGTATTGACTGGTGTGACATCACTTTTGTTTATTTATATATGTATATTTATGTAGAGATAGGTATATATATAGATATATGGGTATTCCGTTTCTGTTTTGGAATTCATTTATTACAAGACAATGCTGTAATCAATATTAGAGTAGTTGACATTACATAATAAAAGATGGCACCTAAATCCATTTCGGAAGCGTGCTGGGCTACTAGGAATACGAAAAGTTTAGGTCGAAGAATTAATAACTTTACTTTTAATCTGCATATCTTACTTTGGGGACCAATAAAGTGACTCACGAATTTCATTATTTTACTTAGAAGTAGATGATGGCAATTCTTAATTGACTTTTGATACCGTCAGATGACGAAGACTTAAGGGGTCTTAGATGCCACTAAAATTAATTTTTTCCTTTCCGGTTAGATCGACGTACTGTTATACGTCTAAAAGTAAGTCAATAAGTTGTAATCCCAAAAGTGTTCTCTGATAAGTGAAGGTAGGTTTCTCAAAGAAAAAAGACACATAAGTATGAGCGTGATAGAGGGGTGTATACTGACGAGCTATCTAACAAACTTCTATTTTAGGTTTCCTGACTACTTGCAAGTCGAAATCACTAACCTCGCTTTCAATAGCATCGAAATAAATTTAAGATAAGACTGACATGAATGGCAGACCACGTCGGAATCGCAGGTAACTGCAAAGTGAGCGAGCTGGTAAAAAGAGGCACCCTAGCTCCGCTGTCAGTGGAATAAGTATTCTTTGCACTTTACACTCAATAAGGCTATCCTCACCTTAGTTGTGCTCTATCAGCATCCAAGCTGTAAGTTTGAGAATTTTACTGGATGCTTTCTTTTTAACTTTTAATTATCCCACTGAGCTGATTAGAATAGAAATTAGGCGCCTAAGCAGATTTGTATTGATCGCAAGGGGCTTCGAATTTCGAGATATAGAAGTCCTGTTTTATAGCTCCACAAAAGACTACGTATAGATGTTCAAGTTTGTTTCCCATTATGAGAAACAGCGAACTAAGTGCATGCTATTTTTATAACCTGTATAGTGTATATTATATTTTTGACACCCAAAAGGAAATATTAGAAGCCTTGTAAAACATATATACAAATGATTAGCGTGACGAGCTGAGTCGATTTAGCCGTGTTCGTCCAATTGTTCGTTCGTCTGTTTATATACGAACTCGTTTTTCAGTTTTTGAGATAACAAAATAAAATTTTGCACCCGTCTTTTTCTCATCAAGAAGGTGCTCATTTGTTGGAACGGCCAATATTGGACTCCTGGAGCATATAGCTACCGTACAAACTAAACGATCGGTTAGCTTTTTCACTAAGGAGATATTGTCACCAAATTTTGCGTATATTATTTCTAAGGCAACGGTGCAATTTTCGAAGAAATTGAGCAGATCGAGTCACTATAGCATATTGCTACCACACAAAGTGATTGGTGCAAGGATCTCGTAAGATTTTTTTTATTTATGAAGGGTATTATTTCAGCTATAACCATACGCTCGTTATCTAAGCCAATAAAGAAGAAGTGAAATTGAAATAAACATTTTTGCTTGTTTCTTCTGTATAAAATTATGATCACCTGGGTTTTTAGTCAAAACTCAGGACTTTTTTTAACATACTTTTTAAAAAAATTTATTACAAAATGACTTGGATTTTGTCAACTAACTTCCACTACTACTTTAATGAATTAAATATTATATTATATTATTATATATGAATAAATCGAGGTCATATTGTTATATATTGATCGAAATTGACTTTTTTATTGTTTACGATTCACTGCATCAATTTACATATATGTAAGATAAAATTTTCAGCTTCAGCTCTCAGATATAACCAATATATAACCATTTTATAACTAATATATAACCACTTTATAATCAATATATAACCACTTTATAACCAATATATAACCACTTTATAATCAATATACTTTTTAACCAAAACTCAAATATTGTTTCAATACGGATGGTTTCCATTATATTGCCTTTCCTTCGCCTGTAAACTTATGAAAAGTGATGTTACGTTATTTTGCTTTTTAGGTGACAATATATGGGAAGCACAAAATCAACAGCTTCATGAAGGAACTGTCAATAAATAAATTTTATGTCAATGTGGAAGACACAAAACAGCTGTAGCACGCCAGTTGGCAGCAAGGAAGAGGTGCCCCACGCTCTTGTTAACAATTACCCACATATATATGTACGTATGTATATTCAAGTATACATATGTACGTTTTTATGAATATACATACATATGTACCATAAATATACATATGGGCGCATCTGGTGTCTTTTTGAACTTACCGCATCATCATGCATAGTGATTGCTCCTCTTGCAACACACTCTCCAAATACATCATATCCAAGTCGGATACAATTGCAGCGTTGATCACCATTATTTCGTCTCCCTTGATAATACCTGAAACGAAAATGCATAAAAATATGAATACAATTGAAGTATACTACAACGAATGAAAGGAAATCAGTATGGAAATGTAACACAAACCGGATATACATACACACATGAATACACAGTAGTAGAGAATAGAATTGAATAGAATGGCTTGGAATACATTGCATTGTATTTGCAGCCAAGTAGAAGAGAACAGTTTGATAGGCAGTGGAGTAGGTACATACCAAAAGGTAGCTGCTGTCAGCGTATGAGTAAAAATTATGGCACAAGCAATGAAATTCAATAACAAAAAAAATCAAACTAAGCTATACTTCCGCTTGCGCACATGTGTGTGATTGTATGTATGTATGCGTAAAATATTTATGGTTGTACTGATTGCGTCTTGATACGCATTGTCTGCCAAAGAATACCCCTTTATATGTAGAACAGCGCAAGGCTCATAAATGTTTGTATATGGCTATGTGTGCACATTTGAATTCACTTGTTCTATGCGGCATTGTATTACGACACTGTTACTATTGTACGCGCACACACACGAGCACATATGCTCGCACACATGGGCCGCTGATAAGAGAGACTCAGCGCCTGGCAGAGCATCTTGTAAGTGGTTGCACACAGCGGGAAGACAAAGAAAGGCAAACGCCTTAAACAGCTTACTATTGCTACAAGGTTCTGCTATTGCTATTGCTATTGTTATTGCAATTCAAACGGAAATGCAAAGAAGCATGAAAAGGTGTAAAATTTGTATTGTATTGCATTCGATATGAGTGTGTATGGCTGTGTGTGTGCGTGTGAACATGGTGTAACCAGCCGGAAAATGGAAATACAAAGCCAAACTGAAGCTTTCTTGTACTTTTATTGCATTGTTGTTGTAATGTGTTTGTTGTATGTTTGCATAGTTTTTGAATTGCGTTTAAGCGGAACTTTAAATTGTTTTTTATACACTAAAGTTCTAGAGATAATGCAATGTGATCTTTGTGCGAACTTTAGTTACAAACATTTAATTACAAATTTTCAAATATTTTTGAGAGAATAATTCCGGGTACTTGAGTATGCACCAGAATATATTGTCGTGGAGAAAATAATAGTGATTTTATTATTTCTATAGAACGGAGCTTCTTTTGTATACTTTTCCCACATTGGCAAGAGAATCAAGAGCTGCCATTTCACACAGAAAAAACACCACTTTGTGTGGCCTAATTGAAGTCGTGATCTCGTCGAAGAGAAGTTGAGTTTCCACACATCGCATCAATCAATGGATTTAATGAGAGAACACCTCAGTGAGCGGATAATTTCACTCTTGGGCCGGTCGAAGATCGTGTGATATCGCACTGTTAGACTTTTTCTGCGGACATACATATGTAAAATCTAAAGTCTATATTGTGTGTTTTGTGACGACATACACAGAATATAACACAAGGCATTCTTTAAAGTAAATTTGGGGTAAACAGACTAAAAAGCTTCCACCTCCAGGTTAAAAGGTACTTAGTAATATTGTAGGGGTTTAAAAGCAAACTTTCAGAAAATTGGAAAAGTGGATGAAACGAAATGTATAAAATGAGCGGAGTATGGTGAGGTGCTGGAACATTATCCTTGCGAATGCTCAGCTTTCAAACAGATGAGAAGGCACATACTCTACTGCTCTCAATCCTCCAACCGAAGAGATATTGGGCAGGTGGGGTAGAAAAAATCAAGTTTTTCACTAAATCTACTGGTTTACAGGGCTTAATTTGGTTGAAAAAACCAATCAAAGCGTTTTCATTATATGCAGGGTATTTTCAAAAGTGCACTTAAAAAATAAAACTGTATCATGTTAACAAAATTTTTAAAAATAAGTACTGATACTAAAGACTATGGAATATAGGGAATGAAGATCTTCGATTTTAAGGAAAATTTAATTTAGATTACGTACATACATACATATGTATAAGAGCAATAACAGCAGTTGTTTGTTTAACAAAAGTTTCATGAGACACAAAAAAAAAAAAAAAAACAAAAATATTGCAAAAATTTTGGCTACAATTTTATAGCGACAACTTTGTCGTCAAAATTATAGCAGAAATTTAACAAGAAAAAGTTTTCGTAAAAATGTATTAATAAAAATTGCCTGTGAAATTTATAGCAAAAATTTCGTGTTAAAAGAAAATAAGGGAAACATTTTATAGCAAAAAATGTATAGAAACAATTTTATAGCAAAATACTTTATTTCGACAACTTTATCGTCAAAAATTATAGCAAAAATTTAATAAGAAAAAATTTTAGTAAACATTCATTAATAAGAATTGCCTGTTAAATTTATTGTAAAAATTGTACAGCAAAAAAATATAGAAAAAATTTTATACCCACAATTACATTTAATTATATAGCCTTTAAAAGCGAAAACTTTATATTCAAATCACTTCATTTCTTTCTCTGCTCTACTATATGCATACACACATACATACATACATATGTTAATTTTAAAGGTCTGAACTGAATATACATACTTAGGCATCTTTAACAAAAGCTCACGTAACAACTAAAAATCAAAAATATCAAACAATTTATAAAACTGTCAATTGATGAATAGGTTTGTTGATTGGCTTACAATGTATGAACAAAAGGAATTATTGTGTAACAATTTCCGTAAATTACATTTATTTCTCATAAAGGATAGTTAGAGAATTGTGTGACACCAATCCACATCAGGCGAGATATTTTTCCTGCATTATATTATCTAATAATTTATTTTACAGCAAACTTCATAGAAAAAAAAAAATTTTTAAAACGATTTGCTCGTGTCAAAGGCACGCTTTTGGTGGCATGTTTTGTAACCAAACATACTGCATTTGTCCAGCTATGTCTGTCAACTGTGTTTACGCAAAAATAAATACAGAAATTTGGGTGTGTGCGTTTCTGCTTTGAATTTTATAGTTTCCGGCTTCAATGCATTGTTTTTGTCTTTTTCATTTATTTTTTTTTAATTTTTTTTTTTTTACATTTTCATAGCTCAATAGTTTGTCTTTTGAGTGATACGCCAACGAGCACTTTTCTGACACACATAAATACACTTGAGTGATTTGTAAGCAGCAGCGCCACTAGAGAAACTGCATTCATTCAAACACGCTTTTCATGCTCTAAGAGGCTTAGCTGTTGCTTGCAAATGAATTTACATTATTTTTAAAGGCATGCCGGWATGCTGMGCACAAACACACGCAGACACATGCACGTCATGTACATGTTGTTGCATGTATTGGTGTGTGTGAGTAAATATTTTTTAATACTTAAATCCCACAAAGCACGAACGCGTGTATGTGTGCAGATTTGCGGTGCGCGCTGTGCTTTTGTCGGCGAAAGCGAAACAACAACAAAAGCAAAATACAAGAAAAGTATAATAAGAATAAACACGCGACAGGATGTCAAATAAAAATCTTGAAATTTAATGTGGAAAGTGAAAATTGCTTTCGTCAACTCTTACGGCCGCTCAACGTTTGTCACCGCTTCGCTCGCGTGTTTGTTTTATATTTTCCGATTTTTTTGCGTTCTTCTCTCCGCGCAACTTTAGTCTGGCACTGCATTCGCTCGCACCTGTTTTACAGCTACTTCAGTTGTGTGGCATTTAAATTTAGGGTGCATATTTAAAATTTTGACGAGTCGTCAAAAAGGAAGTCAAACAGTCTCCACCAGGTGTTTGAATGCATGTGTATGTTTATATACATGCGTGTGTGTATATAAGTGTATGGAGTTGAAGTATGATGAAAGAATGTTTGACATACCAAAAGATGTTCATTTTATGGAAACATGAAGAAACAAAGTAAAGCAAGCAAGCGCAGCTAAATACTCTCTTTTATGTATAACGGCACACAAAAGAGCTTGTACAAATATACATACTATGGGTGAGCATAAAACTGTCTGTCATCTGTGAAAACACTTAGGTTTAAGTGCAATACTTTCACCTACATATGTCTATATAAGAAGCTTTCTACTTTTATGTAGTGCTTATGGGTCGGTTCTCTCTTCGTACCCTCTCTAAAATTGACAATATGTCAAATTTTATGAAAGCCATTCTTTTACGGTTACTTGTAGGATTAACATGTGTTGACGTATGTTAGCAACCGGTCTCACGAAAGCTGATAATTTCTATTTTTTTTTTGCTACTCTCTCGCCTTAAATGACAAGCACGACTTGTAATATGTAATTGATGAAAGGGAGATAAAACATAGCTTTAGGAGCAGCGAAGCGAAATTTACCATATTAAAGGAATATCTAGCCCCAAAATTTGTGTGGACCGAAAGTCATTTCATTAGAATAAGTTTCGTATAAAAGAATTTATGAGAAAAATTATTATAAATATTTTATAGCGAAGGAATTGTGGGCAATATGCTTTCGCAAAAAATTATAGTAAACAGTTTTTGGAAAAAATGTTGTTAAAAATTGTAGTAAATAATTTGTAGTAAAAATGTTTTTAAAATAATTATAGCAAACATTTTATAGATTTGTATATTGTGACAAATATTTTATAGCAAGGAATTTGTGGGAAAAATTAAAATATAAAGCAAAAATGTGACAAAAATTAAAAATAAAATTAAAAAATAAAGAATTTGTAATAAAACGTTGTTGAAAAATTATAGCAAACATTTGATAGAACAAAACTATAGGAGACAAATTACTGTAAGAACTTTTTACAAACAATTTTAGAGCATTAATTTATAGCCAACACCTCATCGAAAAAAATTACTATTAAGCAAAATATTTATAGGAATAAAATATAGTAGAAAAAAAAACAATATTGCAAAAATTTTTTTGAAACATATTTATACCAAAAATTTTGTGGGAAAAAAATACTGAAAATATTTTATAGCACAAATTTTATATGGGAACTTTTTGACAAATATTTCATATATTTCACATAGTTTTATATTAACAAAATTTTTAAGGTTTAGTGCTTAATAATGTTTAAATTAACGCAATATTTTACTGAATATATTTTATAGGGTTGCCATATGCTTAGTAGTAGTTACTAAGTA